AGATGAATCAAGAGCAGAGGTAAACTTGCAAGGATTAAAGTCTTCACACTTTGGGAAGGAAGCACAAGTCCCCCATAAGTAGACTCACACTCTCTTATCAACATCCTAGAATCTTTTAACATCCATATGGAATCTGCATAGAAAGGACTAATCAAAGAATCATGCCCCTTCCTAAAACACAAACTATCACAACAACCAAACCAAAGAACGTAACAAACACAAAACCAAAGAGCTTCAGGAAGACAAAAGTAGGGACACAAACACGATAAGGAGACTAGTACAACTACCGGAGAAAATTGGTCTAGCCCAGCTCAAACACAGATAAAGATGTTTAATAACAATATCAAATAAAGATCCCTAGGGTTTACGGCTTACTACATATTACATCCAATAAGGCTAGAATCCAAGGTCTTAGTAGAAAAGTCCGCAAACCTCCCAAAGGGGAGAGGAAAAAGTCAACCAAGGTCTTACTAGAAAAGTCCGCAAACCCCCCAAAGGGGAGAGGAAAAAGTCAACTAGGAGCGAGGACTCTAGTAGGATATCCAGCAACCGATAGGACAAGGTTTAGGGTTTTAGCAAGCAGTTCCAGCAAAAGTAAGCAAAACAGTCACCCAAGACGCAGATAGCAACAAGCAGGCTCAACCCTAAAAAATAGATTCACAGCTCCTAAAAGTTAGGTTGTTATCTTATCCAATATAAAAAAGATACAAATTACTCAAATCATGCACTTTGGTTTTGAACAAAATATAGGTTGTGTTGTTTACAAAGTATTGATCAATTACATGGACCTACTTTTCAATCCATTTGTGGAAACATAGCATGTGTTTCTAATCATGACACCCAGGCTGGGGAGAGGAGCAGGATTGCAGGGGGAAGAGGGGGTATATCCTTCCACAAGGAAGCAATCAATGCCGCCCACTTGGGCCTCCCAGCCATAATGGGAAGGAGCGTGCGTGAGTTTCTCATGTATTCCATATTGACTTGCCGGGGGAATAGGAACCGGACTGTCGCTCCCCAGAATGGAAGGAGCCAGAACCAAGAGGTTCTGTTAAAAAAAAAAAAAAAAAAAAACATCGGCGGGTCAAGTTACCAGGGGTGATAAGAGCAACCCTTGATAACACTCCCCCAAATGGCTCCTATGCTGGAAAGCGGGTCTAACATGCGTTTTCAACAATAACAGGTCGGGGCCATTACCTAGTTTCGACTGGTGGCAAAAAGAACAGACAATCCTGAAGTATTACGAAAACCATTGAGTGGAGTTCCTGCCTCTTCAGACCGCCCCAGATACATTTATTACTAACTTGAACACGACCGCATCCCATGCAAGCCAGACTGTTATCATCACTTTTCAAGTCCCCTTGTACCTCAACTAAGGAGACGGCAGATGGGAGGAAGCGATCGAGAAAGTCGGAGAGGCCTCGCATTGGGTCCGGGGCGTCGATCCTTGTCCAGTCGGGAAAGGAGAGGTGGTACTCCTTTATGATCATCCCCTGGTCGTCCCCCTGCTCCCCTTTCTATTCTGCTTCTGCTGTCCAGCCTCCTTGTTCTCTGGAAGTGATCAGGAAAGCCGGAGAGGAGTCGCATTGGGACTGGGGCGTAGATCTTTGTCCAGTCAGGAAAGGAGAGGTCGTACTCCATTATGATCATCCCCTGTCGGAGAGGCGTCATATTGGGACATCCGCTGGTCATCCCCCTGCTCCCCTTTTTATTCTGCTTCTGCTGTCCAGCCTCCTTGTTCTCGGGAAGTGATCAGGAAAGCCGGAGAGGCATCACATTGGGACTGGGGCGTAGATCTTTGTCCAGTCGGGAAAGGAGAGGTGGTACTCCATTATGATTATCCCCTGTCGGAGAGGCGTCATATTGGGACTGGGGCACCGATCTTTGTCCAGTCAGGAAAGGAGAGGTGGTACTCCACTATGATCATCCCCTGGTCAACCCCCTGCTCCCCTTTCTATTCCCCTTCTGCTGTCCAGCCTCCATGTTCTCCTCCCAACCAGTCTTTTATGAATTATTTCATATTTGTTTTTTTTTTCGTTTTTTAATGTAGGGAAGCTAATTTGTCCTTCACCAAGTCTTATTGAAGTGTTAAACCACCAGTACTTGGCCCAGCTATCGGCGGTGGGAAAAATAGAGTAGAAACATTTCTAGTCGGATGAATTTGTGCGGACTTGTAGTGACCCGTACGTTTCCTAAAATCGTGGCTTGTTAATGGGCACGACTTTAGGAAGTATGGGTGGTTTAAGTCCGGTTGTACCGGGTGTTTGATTTATTCAGTATATGATGGCTCTTCCAGGTGTAACGCCTCCATTTGGAAAGTTTGGCTTGTTAACGGGCACGACTTTAGGAAGTACAGGTGGTTTAAGTCCAGTTGTATCCGGTGTTTGATTGATTCAGTATATTATGGGTTTTCCAGGTGTAATGCCTCCATTTGGAAAGTGCAGTGTCTTCACCGGAGTGCCCATGATATACTAGCCCTGCGTGTTATCTTGAAAATGTTACATGCAAAGACGATGGCCTGCTCCAGTTGCCAGGCTTCACATAACAACGCCATCCAGTCCCATGCCCAGTGAGTGGTAGTGCCTGCCGTCTTCCCCCGAACATAATGCATATTGAGTTTTCGAACAAAATCGATGATTCGAAGAGAACCCATAAAACGCATATGCATTGTACCCATACAGAAAGCAACCTATGCGCTATATGCATTTACAACGCATATGCGTTATGTTCGGGGGCTCCATATGCGATCCCACCACCTCTAGAGCCAGAGAGAGCCTGGGCATTGTTAAAAAATATGTTTTATTGTGTCTGGAATCCTCCGGGCCGGAAAAGATGTATGATAGACTTTGCATCGAGGGAGAGAAACACATTTTTGTTCTAAATATGTTTTGTCAATCAGCCAGTCGTTGGCAGGCAGACAATGGTGCTCGACTTGTCACCACAAATAGGCCAACTTTGTCGGCTTAGTGTTGCTGACTTTAAACCATTTGATGGGACGTCTAGAGTCCCTTCCTATGTTGAGATATCCCATCCAATGCGCTTTGACTGCGCCTTTCAGGTTGACCCCGGGATACATCATGCAGTAGGTTGCCTTCACCTCTAATGAGTGCATCTGGCGACTCCCTAGCAAGTAGGGTTGTCTAGGTCCAGTTGATTGGGTCGAGGGCAAGGTATGTGATAGGTGTATCTGGTCTATAGGCTAGCCAAGCCCTTGTGAAAGGCCTCTATCCCGGTTGTGGTAAGAGAACCGCAGAAATCGAGGCTTTTGCCTATTGGGCTGCTCCATCTATTGGTGGGGAGTGTCACCTGCTGGAAATCGGGTCCAGCGTCCCTTAAAACATCATCTCAGTACTGAGTTTGTTGGGGTCGCACAAATCATCCTTTCAACTTCTGGAGCTTCTACTTCTTACTGAAGTAGTGGAGCAAGTCCTCTTGTTTTCAAAAAACTGCCAGCAGTGATTCCTCTGGCTTTCAGAGGCTTGACTATGCTGGTTGTTGAAAAGAGGCAGAAAGCTCTTCGCCCTGTACCAGGCGCCGGATGTCTACTGCTGAGGGACTGGTTCCTTGCTCTCCCTACTACCTTTTACCCAATATAAGATTTACCACCTCATTTATCTATCTCTTAACCCTTAAACCCTTTCCCCTTGTGGCCCAGGATAAACCCAATTCCTCATTTATCTATCTCTTAACCCGTAAACTCTTTCCCCTTGTGGCCCAGGATAACCCCCATTCCTCATTTATCTCTCTCTTAACCCTTAAACCCTTTCCTCTTGTGGCCCAGGATAACCCCCATTCCTTCCTTTCTTCCTCTCCCAACTACCTTTTTACCCAAGAAGATTGACCGCGGTGTCTTAAACCGTAAAACCTTTCCCCACGTGAACCTCAGTCATTCTGTCACGGGATAGCCCCCGTTCCTTCCCATCTTTCTCCCCTGTACCAATCTATTCCGACTAAGCTATTTGCAGAGGGGGGGGGAAGAAGTCCAGGAACTGATCACATGGTCGCATTGGGATTGAGCCATCTAGCTTGGTCAAGTCATGGAAGACGAGTTGGTACTTGTTTCCCTGCATCCTCCCTTGTCCTCTTCCTTCCCCACACCATTCCACCTTTCCCATCTTCCCCCCTGATTCCCCCCCAAGCCAGCTTTTGCTGATTTTTTTAATCCTTCGCTCAACTGTTGGCCGTCAAGTGGGGGGGAAGGGGGGTATAAATTGGCTTTTAAGGGGCTAGAGGGGTTTATAGGCGGGTGCCTTGGTCTGCTTCTGTTGTTTTYTTCTTCTTTTTTTTTWATCTTCAATTGCGTGAGGAATTAGTAGTTTCAAGTTTGTACTGCAATTAAACATATTTCTTTGCTGGAATTTCTTGGATTTTTCCCTTTCTTTGGTGCTGGGGCTGCCTGGACCCTGCCCTGCCTCCATGTCCGGCTGGGAACCTATTTCTTTGGCACTGGGGCTGCCAGGACCCTGCCGGCCCTTCATACCCGGCTGGGAATCTATTGGAATTCTACACAGCATATATTCTTCCGCTCAAATTTCTTGATTTTTTTCTCTTTCTTTGGCGCTGGGGCTGCCTGGACCCTGCCCCTGGTTCATGCCCGGCTGGGAACCCGCGCGTGCACCCGGAGAAACAGCCTGGTGTTTTTGTCAATTTCGCAACATTTTTTGTCAATTTCACCATCTGCGTACGGTTCACTGGGCAGTCCTCTACATATTTTCACGATTACATCGTATCCATGCTTTTTGTTCCATACCTCCTGCAAAGGGTATATGTGACACTTGGAAATTTTCAACTGAACCTGCTGACATTCCCGCTCAGGTACATCCACAAAATCTCCAGTGTGAGCATGCCCTTGTTCACATCCATTTCCAAATAACACCTACATGCACACTTACATATCACGCCCCGGTTGGCACAACATTCACAACTCACACCAGATGCTGTCGAAATGCCTCTCACAAGGATGGTCATCATCTTCTTCTCTTCCAGGAACATTAGAAATGACGAAACAAAAGTGCCTTTCATTTCCAGTTAACTTCGGCGTAAAGGCATATCGCCTTTCATTTAATGACACAACATTTTTTTGGCATCATCATGGAACCCAGATGTTTCGACAAATCCGTATTATCTTTACTGACCTGCTTTGAGGATTCCTACACCATCCTCTATTCCTTCCTCTCCCCCCGTCGGTATTGTCTCAATTAATGTCCATCTTTTACACAGAGCGCAAACAGCACGCCACACACGAATCAGCTGCTTGACGCCCCTCTCCTCCAAAGTTCTCTCCATTATGCCTTAACCCTCATGGTCTGTAAGCACATAAGTCTCTCCCATATCGAACCTTTACCTTGCTTATCAACCAACCTTGTGCGTTCCCTTCATTTTGATCATCTTCTTATGTGCCGGCCCTGTCATCCTGAAATGTCATGTCAATCTCCAGCTCACCCTACACTTGGAACCAACGAGCCATGCAGAGATTACTATTAACTATTACATAAAGTAATCTCTTCTGCAATCACCTCAAAGCAGAGCCAAGCAGAGAACGATGGACCAAAATGAAGTGCGTATAAAGGTCTGTAGCATCGGATACGTAGAGTTGACGGGGAATAAGTGGATCTGTTCCTCGGCACTTACCACCATACGTGCTTGATTACACTTTTGCCCTGCATTAAAGATCTTGCATCAGATCATGTCCAAAAAGAATCGATGACGCTCGCTGAAACTTCACAGCAATCGCCAAAATAACGTGACAAGGTTTACTCTGAAAGCCAGCGTGCAAGAGCAGACAATCTCAAAGAGTGACAGTCAAAAATCTATCATCTTGAATCTTCTTATGCAGGGGCTTTATGCTCATAGAATAGTAGAGTCCGTACTCAACTACTTCGTGCTCAAGAGAGATGAAATGACGTCCTGCGGGATTCCTGCCACTTTTACTCCCCCACTCAACTGGCGCCTCATTCAAGCTTCCAGCCCTTTCCATCGACCTCCTCCCATGCACAACCCAGGCCTCGAATGAAATGACATCCTGCCACTTTACTTACCCGATTAACCAATAGCAACTTAGGTGTAGGCTGATGCAGAACAAATGAGGGATCAGGCAGGAAATCCCCAACATGTGACACTTGTCAAGCTCTCATTGCTCACTCGACATCTCCGAACTTTCCAGGAGAGGCACTGCAAACCAACACTCCATTGAAACCGACATTTGCCGGAACCCAATTTCCGGTTGCCTTCTTCTGTCTGAGCGCAAAAACAGGCAGAACATGAAACAGCCAGCTTCTATCCTGACACGTCAGGTATCAGAAAAGGCTGGACCATTGCGACACTGGCACCATGGGCGTCTCTTTCCATGCCCCCAACAAACCGGTGCTGCTCTCCAATAAGTTACTACCCATGAGAAAAGGGAGGCTGACAGAATCCCGCGTCATCTTGTGCAGAGTGGCATGACACCAGCCACATACACAATAAGAACACACCCTGGATGTGCACTAGTCTGAATTTCCAGACACGGGAGGAGAACAAGGGAGACGAGGAGAATCGAAAGAGGAACAACCCAAACAAAGATAAAAGTCAGGGGAACAAATGTGGTCTATTGGAAAGGAAACGTCAAACAACCTTTACCCCCCGACGGTGAAGCCTCTGAAGCGCAATCTGCATTCTCGTCCAACCTGACAGCTGGGTTCCCATTTTGGGACTACAGCATTTGGTGAAACCGGCGAACCGTTCACGTCCAATGGGACAGAGGGCTAATGCACAATGAGCTGCTGAGCAGCGCTGCTCATTGGCCACCGAGCTTTGTTAGGCCTCTGCAGTACCACTACAGGCTTGTCTGCTACATGCTGCTACATGCTGGAGTCACACTCTTTTGACGTACGAGACAGCTAGCAAAATTGGCGGAGGGAAGCATCCAATAGCGCAAGGAGACTGAGAATGCCAAACGGGCCACGGAGCTAAAGAATCCGTAGCACAAAGCGAATTCGCCCTTCGGATGAATCACTTGGGCTGACTGCTGAATAAGCCCTTCAAATGTACGACCCAAGCAAAACCCCTGCACATGGGCTGACCTCATGGCATAATAACGACTCACAAATTGTGCTCCATGAGCTGCCCTTGCATATTGATCGGGGAACGCGACTGTTCCTCCCCTCAGGTTGAAAACCTGATCTGTGGTGTGGTAGTCCACTGTCGATGCCATCTTGCATTGCTGCCGAGTAACTCGCATGCACAAACACTGGCAGCAGTAGCAATGCACAATCGCGAATTTGCACATTTACGAACACGATGGAGCAAGATGGGCTATGACAAGATAAAGGACAGGAGCAGTATATACACAACCCTCGGTATTCTCTCTCTCTCTCTCTCTCTCTCTCTCTCTCTCTCCACACACACACACACACACCCTGCTTCCCCCCTCCTCAACCTCCTCCCTCTTCATCACTAACTCCCAATCGGCATCTTGATTGTGCTCTCTCTCTCTCTCTCTCTCTCTCTCTCTCTCTCTGTGTATGAGCCCTCTCCGTTACCAATTTCAACAATGCCTGCTGCTCCAGGTTCGCAATGAAAAGTGAAAAATAAATGACCTGAAATATTAATGATCAGCATCCAAACAAACAGAAAACGACTCAACGTTCAAAACTGAGTGGCATGCCTCCACATGTCGAAATCCAGTGCCACTCCTGGGGTTAGCAACATGGTTCGAGGTTGCCATTTCCATAGCCTGCGATCAGCCTCTCGACAAGATGCTCCTGCTCGAAGAAGACACAGTGCAAAGCCTTGACACATAACTCTGCCTCATCATCGTCCACAATCACCGAAATGTTAACCTGTGACAAATCAACAAAACGAAGTGACCAAGAGACATAGCAAGGGCAGAAAGTGCTCAGGGACCCAATCAAGGTGCCACAAATAGACGTATCCACGATGGAACACTCAATGCCTTCAACCATTTCCCACCATACCCAGAAAGGGCAAGACGCTAACATCTCCGAAAGCTGACCACTACCGACAAACGCTGGACTAAGCTGATTGCGCGATTGCAAATGTTTTTCACGACCAGTGAAGTAAGGATGGGAAGAGGAAAAGGAAGGAAACCCCGCAGGTTGGATTGCTCGTGTTTGCCAAGGAAAAATTATTTTCGAAAGCCCTCATCACATCCCAACCGTCGAAATTATTTTCGAAAGCCCTCATCACAGCCCAACCGTCGCACTGGTTGCAGGACAGGTTGGTCGATTAGCCCCAGGGTCAGTCGGCATCAGAGCACAAAATTTCGAGTGGACCGAATTTTGCGACTTTGCAGACCATTCTGGCAAAAAATTCCGGAAAAAAAAAACAAAAAAAAAACACAGGGTCTTGGATTCCGTCCCTGTCTTTTCTGAGAGAAAGAAAGAAAATTTGAAAACAAAACCTGGATGGGAAACAAACAAACTCTGCCGTATTGTTGCTCCCTTCGTCTGGGCGTAAAACATTTTGAGAGCATGCATCAGGCTCGGGAAAATGCGACGGTTGGTAATGGTGGTTTAAACCACACCAGTACCTCACCCAGCTATTGAAGCCCAGCCTGAAAATGCCATGCATGCCAAAAGAAAAACGAACCGGCGAGGGCCTTGTTCTGGCTGGCCCCGTCAGCCATTTTGTTCCGGTACCCAACCCCCGAAAGTTACAGCCGTAAACTTGACGCCGATTTGTTTTTCAACCGGGGAAAGGTACCGAGTGGTTTAACAGCTGGGACGGTTTGCTTTGAATAACCTTACACACAGTATACATGCCAAGTCCCCAAACGGTAGGCACTGAGAGCCACTGATTAAACCGCCAGCCTACGAATTCCCCTCGGCGGCGGCCATCCGCGGACAAGTCCGTGGCCGCGGCCTAGGCCGCGACCCCGCGGACGTGTGCGCGGTCCGCGGCCATGAAAAAAAGAAGAAAAAAAAAARAAAAAAAAAAAGAATTCAAAAATTTCCCAAAAAAAAAAATGTTATGCTGAAAAATATACTGAACAACTTTTGCCTTGTGGTCATATCCAAAAACGTTACTGAATTTAAAATAAAAAATCACATACGTTTCATGTTTTTTCTTTGGAAAAAAAACAAACAAACAGCTTTTGCCTCAGGAAAATTAGTTTTTGAATTTTTAAAATTCGAAGACGAAGTCAAAAAATAAAATAAAAAATTGCGCAATTTAGATCTCAAAAAGATCTACAACCCCATATTTTTTGTTTTGTTTTTTGATAAATTTTTAGGGTCACAAAAATTCCTGAAAGTCGCGGCCGGAGCCGCGCGGCCGTGATCACGTCCGCCCTCCGAGCTTGACCCCGCGGACGCGGACGCGGGTGTTTCATAGCCGCCAGCAGTACCTTTCCCAGATATCGATGCCGAACCTCGAAACGCCCTGCGCACCACCCAAAAAAAGAACCGGTGTGGGCCTCATTTTTGCTGGCGCCGCCAGCCATTTCGGTCCGGTAGCACCAAACCCCGCCGCCCTCCCGCATTACCCAGCGCGTCATGGCCAAATAGCTGCCAAAGGTACGAGTGGTTTAAAAGATGAAAGGACTATGCCACTGCGCCGCATGCTTCCCTTGAATCAGACTAACTATACCAAGGGGCAGCCCAATTGGCCTGATGCTTACCAACTCACCTAGCTGCCTGCATCATGTAGACGTACAATGCCCAGGTGCATCCAGGGTCAAAATTATCCGACTAGCCACTTAAACCATGTTAGCAAATGACAAGTCCCATAGTCAACACCGATCAGTTGAGCAGTGTTAGGAGATCCTCAATGCAGCAGAGTACGTATACATAGCAACGACCTTCATGATATGAGATGAAAATGAGATGAACATGAGATGTGAGAGGAGGAGGACGAAGAGGAGGGGAAAATAAAGAAAGAAGATTTGAGGACCAAAAAGAAAAGAAGCTGGAGAAGAAAGATGGAGGACAACCAAGAGGAAGAGAAAGTGGAGAAGGAACGTCGAGGACGGCGAAGACGAGAAGCTGGAGAAGGAAGATTGAAGACGACGAAGATGCCAAGAAGCTGGAGACGGACGTTTAAGGACGACAAAGAGGAAGAGAAGCTGGAGATGGAAGATTAAGGACGACAAAGAGGCAAGCTGACAGTCAATCCTCCGGATAGGGAGCAATCAATGCTGGTCAGGGTTCCTTCGGCCAGACGGAAGTAAGCGTGAGAGTGTTCACCATGTATCTCAGTATTGACTTGCCGGTGGAAAGGAACCGGACTGACGCTCCCCAGAATGGACATGGAGCCAGGACCATAAGGACCTGTTTATTTGGGAAAAAAAAAAAAAAAAAAAAAGATGGAGAAGGAAGATTGAGGGCGGCGAAGAGGAAGACAAGCTGGAACAGGAAGATTGATGAAGGCAGAACAAAGGCAAAGAGACGACAAGGAGTACGCCAGGAACAAAGGCAAAGAGAGGACAAGGAGTACGCCAGGATTCGAAAACGAAGCGATCAGTGCATAGTACTCACCTTGGATGCACCTTGAGAAATCATCTGCACATTAATTCCGCAAGAGCGGAACACACTGAAGACCTGCAAAGGCCATCACCAAAGGCGTCAGCTTATCAGGCTCATCACTATTGGGTGTTTACAGCCTGCCAAATAACTGCAGGGTTCTGCAAATAGTGTGCTACACCTACCTTTTCCATCATATCACTGCAGTTAATGCTACCATCTACAGATTCACAGAATAATATGAAATGCACTTTATAGTAGTCAATATGAACTGTGAGAGCATGGAGTATTGATCCTTTTAGTGTTCCAGGACATGAAGCTAGAGGTGTAAGAAAACTGAGAAAAGTTTTAATGTGTCGTGCACTTCAGTCTTCCAACATCTTCCGTTTGCTATTCTCCCATGGACGGCCATGCGCATGTGGATGTTCATAGTAACTTCATGCCATAATAAATATGGTATATAATACGGTATTAATAGTAAATACCTATATATATCGTCAAATAGAAGTAAATACCTATATATCGTCCTTTACTTAAATTTTATATATAATATGGTATCTTCTTTATTTATATTGATTCAATTGAATCTATTTATCATTCAAATAAGAACATGAGAAATAATGTAGAAAAAAAAAAAAGAACATGAGACATAATGTATACCTATGCACCTGACTCCAGAAAAGGTGGTCTTGACCCGGACCTGCAGAAGGTTGAGGTAGCATCTCAGCCTCTTTTTTTTTTTTTTTTTTTTTTTTTTTTTTTTTTTT